CTATATTCTGCTCTCAATTTCACCTCACACTACCTACCTACCACCACTCCTAATTGTGGGCACAGAACCATGTTCACGAGAGAGCATGCGGGTGCTGCTCCCGACCTGCAGGCTAGGGGACAGCCGGTAGCATCAGGGACCATCCATGCCAACAGGATCAATCCCTGTGCCTCCCCTCAGGTGGTGGTCCCCTCCCCTACGAACATCAGCAGACACTGGTCGATGCCTATCAGGGAATCCACTGGTCATCTCTGGGTGACTGGCGCCAGGCATGCCCAGGAAGGTCCATGAGGCCAATGGCGATTGAACCCACGACCTCCTGAATGCCACTTGCGAGGGTTACCAACTGAGTTAGGCCGCTGGAATTTTTATTATTATTGTTTTTCCCCCATATCTGCGACCTTTTTTTTCTTTCTTTTGTTTTCCGTGGCTGGGACTTCTCTTTTTGTTTTGTTTTCCATGCCTGCGGCATTCGGTTTTTTTTTTTTTTTTTTTTTTTTTTTTTTTTTTTTTTTTTTTTTTTTTTTTTTTTTTTTTTTCCCGTGCCTGCTTATGCCACTGCCGAGCTGTCTAGGCCACACCCGTGGCTGGGCCATGGCTGAGATGTCTTGGCCACGCCCATGGCTGGCCCACGGCCAAGATGTCTAGGCCAAACAACACAAAGATTTCAGCACAAAAGGGCATTCCGCTCTACCCACATCTTTCAGGAGCATTTCGGCTTTGCAGTTACCCTGTTTTTTTTTTAACAAGCAGAAGAACTTTCATATTACAAAAACGAAGAAAAAGCAGGCCAGGGGCGACGTCCCACTGGTGGTCAGAAACGTATAGGAATGAGGAAGATCCGTGTGTGTGTCACTCTTTTCAGCAGCAGGTAGCAAAGGGATAAGACAGTCCTAGTAATTTTGTTGCCGTGCAAATAGTATCTTTCTGGCCCTCTCATATGCAATCAACTGTGCCACGTATTCTTTCTCATGGTTGGAGGGGTTTTCATTCCTGGCCGGTGTTTTGATGGGTCAGGAATGAAAACCAGTTCGGAAATTGGTAAGGTCCAAAATTAAAAAAAAATGGTGAGAAGAGTGTGTCAGTCTGAGCAGACCTCTCTCTCTCTCTCTCTCTCTCTCTCTCTCTCTCTCTCTCTCTCTCTCTCTCTCTCTNTCTCTCTCTCTCTCTCTCTCTCTCTCTGTGTGTGTGTGTGTGTGTGTGTGTGTGTGTGTGTGTGTGTGTGTGTGTGTGTGTGTGCACACACACACACACATGCTTTGTGCGTGGAAGTCCACTCAGCTTTTGGCGGTTCTCACCAGATTCACCAAAAGCAAAAACTATGGCGATTTATTTTCCCAGGTATGGAGTGAAAATACATTTTCAATTTCCATGTTTGGCGACGTGGAAAAAGCTTTGAAATGGTGTCACACGGTGCCCGAACAAGCTTTGAAATGGTGTCACACGGTGCCACCCCTGCCTTAGTGTGCCGCACCGTACAGGAATCAAAACCAAACTCGTGATAGACTGCTAATGGGACTTGGCCGCGGGAGTTCCTCCACAAACAACCCCGAAAATCTGCGGTGGGTACCCAGTTTAGGGTCAGGGGTTAGGTTAGGATATACGGGCTCGTTCGACACTCCTCGGGGCATCCTCGGGCCCCGACGACGATTCCTTGGAGTCGCCGGAGGTAAACCCGCCTTCGTTCCACTCATCCTTGGAAATGTTCCCCGAGGACGATTCCTCGGGGCGTCCCGCGGCCAGTTTCATATATCGACGAGTGGACGTGGGGAGTGGTTGGCGTTTGGTCCATCCTGCATGTCCGTGTGGGTGTGGGTGGTCCAGTGCTGGCGGCGTGCATGACCGGGCTCTGCGGCGGGAAAAAAAAAATGGCACGGAAAAGGCGCGGTGTCCCAGTTCGAAATTTGAATTCGAATTTTTGAGAACAAGCGTGTGCAAGCGTGGGCGTCCCTTGCGGGTGACGGCAGCGACGTTGTTCGGCGGTGGCCGTTTCGGATATCGGCGGCGGCGCGCTTCTGACGACACGCGGAACGTACATGTACGCGTTGGAAGCAGTGGAGACGGCGTGTCACGATCGCGTTCGTCCTCCCGCTTTCGGGAACGTGGATTTCCATCGCCGGTTGCGCTGAGCACTGTCGTCTTCACTGCTGGCAGCGCTGCTTTGCGGCTCGCGCTCTGGCGTCTTCTGCACTCCGCGACGGGCGACGGGGGGGGTTTGGACGTGCGGATCCTCGCTGTTGATTCGTGGTCTGCGGTCTTCTGCACTTCGCGACGGGCGGATCCTCGGTAACGTTTATGGCGATAGCGTCGGAGGGGATGGACATGCGTCATGCGCTATCGAAGGCGGAGAGGACTGCGGTGGCAGCGGCCGTGAGCGCCGTCCTCTTCCGGTGCCAGTTGGAGAGGGGCGAGGGGAGGATGAGAGCGGCCATTCGCGCGCGGCGGAAACCGACGCTGCAGTCGCCGGTCTGTGGGGGCCGACGACAGCGCTGCCATTTGCGACGCCGTGCTGCAGGTGTGCTACGCCATGGGGTGTGGAGCGTTCCCCAGAGCGATGCCCAGATGGTGGATGAAGCAACGTACAGGCGGCACGTGGGAGGATCTCCGGCTGTGCGACGATGCGACGACGGACTACTTCAGGGAGAAGCTACGAATGTCGCCACGTGTATTCCGAGAGATAACGGAAGCTCTGTCTCCCTTCCTCGAGCGACGTGTCACTTTCTACAGGGAGGGGAGCCCCTCCAACCAGACCAGATTGTCGCCTACGCTTTGTAGAGGTGGGCGTCGGGGGAGACATACGAGAGCGGGACATGCAGCTTTGGCATTGGCAGATGTTCCGGGTTGGTGGCGGTGCGGGATGTGACTGCGGCGTTGCTCAGTGCGTTCCCTGACAAGATCTCGTGGCCGACGGGTCTGCAGAAGGCGGTCGTCTTGCGCGCTTTCGCTGACAAGGGTTTCCCCAACTGCCATGGGTGCATCGACTGCACCCACATCTTCATCGACAAGCCTGCGAATTGCCCCGGGGAGGACTACTACGGTAGGAAACGGCGTTTCTCCGTGCAGGCACAGGTCATCGTGGATTTGAACTTGCGCGTGTTGGATGTGTTCGTCGGTTACCCGGGAAGTTGCCACGACGTCAGGATCGTCCATCTGTCCAGTTTATGGGCACGCACGGAGGCGGGAGAGCTTTTCACCAGCCCACCAAGCATGCTGCCTTTCGGTGTGCGGACAGACGGATATCTGCTGGGGGACAACGGGTACCCGCCCTCCAAATGGGTTGTCGTCCCTTACGGCGGTGTATCCCAAAACCCTGTGGAGATGCGCTTCGATAACAAGCAGAAGACGGCGAGGGGCGCAGTGGAGAGGGGTTTTGGCAGACTGAAGGGGATGTGGAGGTTGTTCCTTCGATCCCACAAGACGAACATGGAGACGTTGCCGCAGCAGTTCGTCGCCGTCTGCATTCTCCACAACATACTCATCGACGCGGGCATCCCGTTTGACGACAATCTGCTCTGGGAGGTCGGGCCGGATGGTGTTCGTCGCAGGGTGGATCTTGGGATGGATCGTCCCGTGAGGCAGATGTGCATGGAGTCCTCCACAGGGGATGCCCGCATTCTACGTGACGCACTGGCTGAGGGAATGGCGGCACAGTGAAGACGGCGAGGCGAGCGGAGGGATCGGCCTTGATGGCGTGGCTGAGGCGATTAAACGCGGCCGTGTCCCGTGTGGTGGAAGGTAGAAATCGTGGCAGAAGACGCGGGGTGCTCCATGTCGTGCAACGAGTTGTCGCCGTTGTGTTTGTCGTCCATCAGTCGGATCTCGCGAGTAGTGTGGCGGTGGTGGGCGTCATAGTTTGGTTGTCTGGGCACGCGACGGCGTGTCTCGGCAGTTTATTTCGTTGTGTTAGGATCCGAGCGATGTCGGGTGTGTGGCTGCACCGGGGGCGGACTGCGTTTGCGCAGTCGAAGACGTAGGCGAGGAGGGGCGATGTGAGAAGCGCCCACGTGCAGACAAGTGGTTGTTGTGTAGTGCGCTGTCGCTACGGCGACGTGTGAGGGTGGCAGGGTTATCGTGTCGATCTTTGGTTTTAGTTGTGTTTTGGTTGATCTTTTCACTGACATTGATTAATGACCCGTTTCGTTTTTCACGCTCTGTCTCCACGGACGTGTTTTTTTTTTCTTCTTTTCTTTTTCTTTTTTTTTCTTTTTCTTCGACGTTGTTATTTTTTTGTTTCTTATTGTTGTCCTCTTTTCATTTTCTCACGCACAGCGATCTGCCATGTTCCTTATTGTCTGCGGCATGGATGGTGTGGGGCTTGTCTTTCTCCTTCGCCAACAACGACATACACACAATTGCAGGACGGGGTTGTCTCTTGTTTGTCATGCCACATTCGCTTCCAACATGCATGATGTATGTGTGGACAAACATCGGTTAGCACTTTTTCCAAGCATTCAATCTTCGAAAACAAACAATCCCATTATGAATGTGTACGCCAACGGATCATGACAACTCCAAAGTGGACCACGCAGGCGCGAAAAACAAAAAATCATTGCCACCCTTATTGCTCGCATGTACAGAACCGAAGAAAAACAAAAAAACTCCTAACTGAAGGATGAACATGTTAATCAAAACAAAAGTCCAAAAGAAACCCCCAGCCCGAATGCGCTTGCTGTTGTGACACTGAACATCGAAACGTCTACCCCCAACGACCACCGACGTCGTCCGCACTAGCAGCAAACACTGGCGCACACCCTGTTCTAATTCTACACGAAAGTGCACACATGCACCCACCTCATCAAACCTGTCCGAGCGCACCCAAAGGCATCATGAACCCCCCGCGCTCATATCGTCGTTGACAGCGGCGTCATCGTCGTCTTCCGGTGGCCTTGTGCCCAACCAATCGAGCTTTTGAGCCTCCATTGGGGAAGACAAAGTGGCGTCGTGAGAGAATTTCACGCCGATTGACGCCCAGTCCGGGATGTACACTGGAGGGGCCAGCAAGTTGATCGGGGGTTTCACCAGCTTGTCCGTGATGGCAGTTGCGGCCTGCACGATGTGTCGACGCGCGTCGAACGAGCGATGCATGGATGCAGTTAATGTGGGTTTCGCCGTCAGCTGGACGAATACCCACGCGTCGTAATGGGCCCGACGATCGTCACCGCCCATCCGCATAAGCCACATCGTCGCGGCGAGCATTACCTGCATCGCCTCGGCTACGCTCTTCAGCCTCTCATGCGACACCCGACCGCCGTCGACTCCCTCCGCCGTGCTCACGGCGCTCGTGAACCCACCCACCAGTCTTTGGACGCTCGCTTCCTGATACGCCGCCAGCTCGTCGTCCTCGTGCCTGTCTTCGATGTAAGCGCTGACGAACCACAGTGGCAGCTTCATGTCCATGTCAAGCGTATTGTGGAAAACCATGGCGCTCACACACACACGCCAGTCTTCCCCCATCCAGATCGTGCGCACGATGTCAGTCGCCGCATGGTTCAGCGCGTACCCGTACGCAGCGTGGTAACCCCGTTGCCTGCTCGCGGACTTGAACAACCACCCGTGGATCACCCGCAGAGCGATGGTCTGCACCTTCAGCGCCCTGTCTTGTGCAGCGCTGAACTCCGATTTGTCGTCGATTTTGTGTTGCGGGATGGTGGTGTGTGGCAGGACGATGCTGCGTCGAATCGCAGGAGGCTGCACACCCCGCGCCACCGCCACAAGATACAGTCGCGCTTCCTGCATGAGCTTGACAATGGCGTTTCCCTCCGTCTCGTTTGAGAAACGAATGTCGTCCACCCACAGTTTGCATGCCAAGTCGATCCCTTCACGGGCGCTCCGCTGCCGCACCCTGTTCGCCAACGCTTCATCGTCCTCCCCGACTCCAGCGACGGCGCCTGCCCTGCTCCCTTCGCCAGCATTCCCCCCACCTGCCCTGGCTCCTTCCACCGCATCCGAAGCCCCCACAGTTGCGGCCCCGCCTGACCTCCCCCCTTCACCAGCCTGGGACGCACCACCCGCCGTTGCGGCGCCTGCCTTAGGCACTTCTGCAGTGCGCGCCGCAACCACCGTCGACGCCCCGCGATCGTCATGCGCAGGAGATCGGCTGGCGATCCCCTGAGCAATGCCTTGTGCGGCGATGCCGACTTCTGTGGCCGTCGTTTGTCGCAGGGTCGATGGCATTCGGCTGCAGAGGAACACCTCTTGCGCGGCAGGGGGTTCGTTGACATGTGGCAAAGGCGCACGGTTCTGCTGCGTGGAGGCACTCCCCCGGGCTCGGCCCATCGCCGGACGAGCGGCGACATTGGCGTCTTGTTGACTTGCCCCGCGGCCCCCTGTGCTACGCCTCTCGCCGACGTCATCGATCCGGAGGGCTCTAATCTGCCTTCTGGAGGACTTGCGCTTCATTGGGATTTCCTCCGATTCGGCGAAGTCGCTTTCCCCGTGTGAATCGTCCCCCTCCGCCACCCAGTCTTCCGCGTCTGCGTGTATCGCCATCGCAGAGGCCCTTGGACGAGCTTCCTCCATTTGTTCACCACATTGCACCCCCTTTTATCCTGGAGAGACGCATCGACCGCCTGTTTCCCGGCAGACCTCCCGCGTCCAGAACCTCGGGACGCTATGGCGTGCGACACACCCTCCACGACACGCAAGGATGGTGGGTCGAGTGACGGCCCGTATCACCGCCAAGAAGAGCGGCGATGATGGGGGAATAGAGCACGACTTCGAAGTCGACGAAGACGGAAGAGCACCCCCACCAAGGCGTTTACGAAGGCCTTCGACGGCGCGACAGCGCAGATGGTGACGAAGGCGCACAGGAAGATGCGTGAGGGACGTCGGTGTTGAAGACGCACACGATGACGGCGAAAAAGGCGACGAAGGCGAACAGGAATCGGTCGGCGCAGTCCGAAGACGGCGTGGAAGGCGAAGGGACGTCTGTGTTAAAGACGAACACGATGATGGCGAAAAAGGCGACGAAGGCGCACAGGAAGACGTCGGCGCAGTTCGAAGACGGCGTGGAAGGCGAAGGGACGTCTGTGTTGAAGACGAACACGATGATGGCGAAAAAGGCGACGAAGGCGCACAGCAAGACGTTGGCGCAGTCCGAAGATGGCGTGGAAGGCGAAGGCTGGATCGACTGCGGGTGCGGAAAGTAAGGCAGGGAAGACGGCGTGGAAGGCGACGTATGTGAGGGCGTTCGCAACGAGCGGGTGGACGGCAAGAAAGGATTCAACGGCGAGGACGAATACGACGGCAACGTGGCAAGAAGGAAGCGAGTGAAGAAGGCGACAGGGAGAGTACTGAGTGGCCCGCGTGGTCACTGCGATGTTTGCTGTTGCGTTCTTGGGTCGCAAGCTTATAAAAACACGTCCCTTGCGTGGTGGAGGGCGACGACTGGACACTCTTCACAACTGCAAAACGACGACTCCATCCCCCAACGTTCTGAATCATTCTACCAGAGGCCTTGTCTCGGGCGAGGAAACGAAAGGCCAAATGTTGCGGGGCACAATATTGGGGGACGTCGACCATGTCGCACATCACGGCTACAAAGGAGCCCCTCGTCTAGAAGGCAGCCCCCAAACCAGTCGCCATCAATGGCCACCCAACCTCCCGCCTGGCATCGTAGCTACCAGGAGGATTGAGCACTCGCGGGAGACTCACTTGCCCTCCACCCCTCATAACCCGCCCTCCCCTCAAACGATTCGACTGCCAACCACCCCCCATCGAACAAAAAAAAACAAAAAGGAGGGCGGAGAGTGTTTGCGGGTTGGTGAATGGTCGGGGACTTGTGGACAGCCGCTTTCGTCCCGACGACGTCCCCCTACCGCCGCCCGGACGTTTGGCAACCGCGAACACACCCCCGGTTAAATAACAACAAAAAACAGGATACCAGCAAACATCCGCATGTGCAAGTCTCCAACTACCATGAATGGACATCCGCATTCAGACGACAAAATCCAATCTCCAAGGGATCATATCATGCAGACCAACGACTTTTTTTGCCTGTTCACGACATCAACAACAGCACTCGAGAATTGGAAGGCATTCAAGACAAAACCTTTATGTACTTCAGGCACACCTCTCGATCACTACCGCAAGAGAGTGACTGCCACGACACACACACGCACACACACACACACACACACACACACACACACACACAAACACACACACACACACACACACACACACA